CCACCAGTCTCCACAGTCAATAGAATCCGAGAACCATCAATCGCACTGGGTGGTTCTGTGGGAGAAACAGCTGCGATTGCAGATACTTCTGCAGAATGGTAGGATCATTGAGCACCGGGCTGTTGTTGACACCGTACATTAGCGCTGTTATCCTTCTTAACCCTACAATTAACTCTTCGACCGAATCCTATAGCCATCGAGTTAATACGTATTCTGTCCTATATTGCGTGGCGTGGTGACTCTGGCTAACTCGTTTGGACTTCCCTGAAACTATGGACATCTCTCAAAAGCCGTGTGGACTTTCTGTAGAGGTTCATCCCCCAGAAGGCATAAGGACAATGAGAGTTTCGTCAATTATACAATTTCTTATTATGACTGACAAAAAATCACTTTCCCCCTTACTTTGAAGTAAACAAAGAAGTAAACCTTAGCAACGATTGTCAAAATGTCAACTCAAAACAGTGATGCCGTTTTGTAGTATATGTTTTTTCATACTTGTCATCGTGTGCCATGACGTGCCGATCAGTGTTCTAAGAAGTGTTTCGGCACAGTGTGCAAAGTTGATTACCCCTTGGCACTTCCAGAGATTTATTTCCGTTTTAAAGATTAATTCAATGGCAAAGAAGTTCCACCGCAGCTGTCAAATAAACAAGATTCACCAGCAATAAATACTCAAATTTGTCAATGCAGTATTTCAGTATTTAGTTCATTGCGGTGGAATTTTTACTGCTGCGTAGAAATTTTTCGTACGATGTGCAATATTTCAGAAATGATACCACCGTTTAACTTTTACGTTTATACGAACCGTATCGTGATAGTGAAAGTGATTAAGATCGTGAAATTAGCTTTGATCAAGCCGTCGAATATGATATTCAGAAAACTCGTTTGGTGAGTGTTCCTCTTATGGCAGAACAAAATATAAAATAGAGCCAAGCTCAAAGGGCATCCTTGCTTGACAGAGCTTTCTATCCTAAACGAGTTTTTAAGAAAACCATTGAATAATACTTTCGAAGCAGCGTTCTTTGTCTCTTCAAGCAGTCCGTAAACATCTCAGGAAGTTTAAATTTTTCAAGAACAGATCACATGCGGCACGATCACATGCTTTATCAAGGTTTATGCTCAGAAGTATGACTTTGACAAGGGGTAAGTCACTCAGCACAGAGTGCCGAAAGTAGATTTGGCACAGCTTGGGAACATCCATCGCACACCTTTGGTACAATCATTAAATGTTCATTAAATAAAGTGGGAGCACTGCTGAACAGCTGTCATTGAAATTGTTCACAACATTACGTGCTGTTTGACTGTGTATTTCAGAAACATACTCTAATTGAATATACAAGAGGAACTCAGAGCAGCAGTTCACTTCTCGGTTCACATTTAAATTCGAAACGTAGGCTTCCGAGGACTGTCGATTGCTATTGATGCCGGTCACAAGTTTTTCAGCTAGTACGCAAATGGAGTGTACTAAAAACCGAAATGCAATAACAATTTGGATGGATCGGATGATGCAGTGGTGGCGGTTGGATACGGCAAACTCAAAGGAAAAGATTACTGGCTAATCAAGAACTCCTGGTCCAACTACTGGGGCAACGATGGAAATGCTTTGGGGGCGGTGAAGGGTAACAACTGTGGCCCTACCACTGATGCGACGTATGTAAATTTGAAGTGACATTTCAGTTTAAATTAGTTTTATTTTCGGATATGTGTCATTTTATATGAGATGGAATAAATAAGGGTTTTTGATTTTTCTAACATAAAATCAAAAAATATATAAGTTAATTACATAGATTGAGTGGAAGCTATAATAATTCCATGTGATTGTGCCTTGAAAAGTAGCTCGGTATTGTTCAAGTAAGTTTGGTTTGGTAGATAACCAATTGACCGAGTCCTGGTGATTTGCTGCTGGAAAGTAGGGTCCTTACAAAGCCGAACTACTTTTCACGGCAAACGAAATTTTTATTGCGAGAGCTTCTTGCTGGAGTCATCACCTTCAGCAGTTCATCTTCCAGATTGAGTAGAAAGGTGTAGTGTTTCTGAATCGTTTCCGTCGAATTGACCAACAACGTTCGGACGACATTGGAGCAGTAGGACTTTTAACGCGCACCTAGAGCACTGATGATCGATCCAAAGTGCAGATAGTTCTTGTCGTTGAATGCACTGAACCTCAAGCTGTAATTGCTACCCGACTGGATAACACGACAGTTGGGCATGTTTTACATAAAACAGCAAAAAAGGTTATCTTCCATTTAATTCCACTTAATTAATTTTGGTATCCATAACAGATACATTCCTTTGGTTTGTTTTTTTCCGTCGATCTTGTTTTCCGTGCTGAGCACCAATGCTACCGACGTGCCAGGAAGGCAGCTCCCACACCTGGACCCTACCGATAGACCCATCAACTCATGAACCGGGGACCAACGGCTTTACTTCCCATCCGAAGGAAGGCGTGATCAGAGATGTTATGCCTTAGAACATCCCGGCGGCGCCGACTGGGATTGAACCCAGGCCTGCTGGGGTGAGAGGTAATCACGCTTACCACTACACCACCGGCGCCGTTGACTAGAATGTGCAGTCTTCATCAGTGTCATTTCCACTAAAGAACTTATCAAAATTTAACCCCCTTAAGTACTCATCCCCTAGGTAAAAGGAAAAAATATGGACTTTCAACACAGCACCGTAATCGTATCGGTCAGCTTGTATCCCAGCAGCCAGGTGGATATGCTGTAGATGGTTTCCTCGTCTACGCCGACCGGCGTCAGAATGCAATCCACCTTCTGCAGGGAATCATCATGCGAAAACTCAGGTTCCTTTCATTGGCGTAGAGGCATTTTTTTCGTCGGTAGAATTAATCCTTATCGAGCACGATATTCAACATTTTCGGGGCCCTTGCGATTGCAAACCAAAACATTCAAGCTATCAGAAATACCGGGTTGCCAAATATACCATAATATTCGTATTTTACAAAAAATCACAGCTTGCTCTATGATATAGATATACTTTGTAATGTTTAGAGAGGATCGAACTATGATCACTCCTAAGTAAAGCCGTTGGTCCTCGGTTAATGAGTGGATGGGTCGATAGGTAGGGTCCTGGTGTGATATTGGTACTCAGTACGGAAAACAAATCAAGGAAAAAAATAGAGAGGATAGAAGAGTGCCCTGTTTATAAACGGACGCGAAACATTTGTTGCTGTCCAATTGCTCGTGATTTTTTTTATCGTCGGTGTTTTCCGAGTTTTATCTGGATACATTTTCCAGCTTTTTAACATTGACATTTTGGAAGAAAAGTTCCCGAGTGACCGAACAAACGATATTTCCAAGGGTTTTTAAGAGCGGAGTTCCGCACAGATAAAAATTCTGAATTTTAATTGTGATATAAACATTTATTCACGTAGACTTGTATTTCATTTCATGCAACCGAGCAACTTGCAAACAACGTTGTTTACAAAGATGGGCTTTTGTATACAATATTTGCTACATTGCATGAAATGTCTCAGAACATAACATGATATATAATGTAAACGTATATGATATGTGACGCTTCATTTATGTGCATCATATTGAACAGAAATTTACTCTAATTTTCGAACTGTGCACTCGTTGGATCTGTGATTTAGTTTTCCGTTATCATTGATTCCGTCGGAAATGAAATGTTTTCTCCTTTGAGAGCGAAAAAATCTGAAAATATTCTTAGTTTAGTTTAGTTTTCTTTATTATGGAGGCTTTCAGCCTGACTCTGTTTCGCCTCCGGGAAAATAATCTTGTTGTGCAATGGTGCACAGCTAACAAAAAGTAGTGTAAATTTCCGTTACTATGATGCACATATATGGAGCGTCATATATCATACTAGTTTAGATTATAGATCGTGTAAATTGATGAGACATGTAATGCAATAATCCATATATTGCATGCCACTGTCCACTTTTGTTTGCAACATTTCTTGCAAGCTGCTAGTTTACATGAAAAGGAAATTCACATGTATGAATGTTTGCATGCATGGATGTTTACAACGCCAGTAAAATTCAGAATTTTTTGGAGTGTGCAGCAGATGATGTTCTGTGTATATGAAGTAAGAGCGGTGGGTCAGTAGTTTAGTAACATGGTGAAATCCTTGTGATGATTCGTTACCTATTCAATGGAGTTTTTAGGTGCCACGATCGTTCAGCTACCAGATTTATAATGTTTTCATACCATTTGATAGTTTGATCATAAATAGAATTCGGCCCAATGGTTCAAAAGTTATGATTTTTTGAAAAAAAGACATTTTTGAAAAAATAGAAAAAGAAACAATTTTTGAAACACTCTAACATGGAACTGGTCACACTAATGATAAAATAACAAAAAATACGGTTCTAATATTTGGCGATAAGTAACAAAACTACATTTTTTTACGAAATTCAGAAAACCACTTTATGGTTTTGCTGTGGAATTGGCTATCTTTTGTACTGAGCTAAAGCACTGTTCACCGGGGAGAGAAAGCCGTCATGCTTACTACTCAACCACTGGGACCGTCCATACATGACCTTCATTATATTTGCACTGGCCATGTATTCGAGCTTTCGACACTGTTTATGACCAACTTCAACATTACCAAACAAATGTGTTAAGCAGTAGAATTGTAAATTTAGAGTAAGTTGTAATATGAAGGTATGGATCGAAGTATACATTTTAAATTACATGACAGGTGGTGCTTATCTTATATGAACAAAGCTTCAAACTGCATTCTTTAAACGAGTGATTGAAGCTACGGAAGCGACATCACCTCTATTCTACCGGATTCAAGTTTTTTGCACGAGTAAATCATGCAAGCAGGCCAACTTTATCCACACTGTATACTGTTACTCTTTACACATACCTCCGCACTACAGTAGGAATTGGATTGTGAGTACGCATACATGGTATCAATAGCAGTAATAGATTAACAAATCATCCATCAAAATCTATAAATGAAGTTCTTAACAGAAGATGCTAGTTAAACAACGCTACTTAAAGAGATATTAACAAATTCGTTTTATTCAGTCCAAAACGTTACATAACAATTCACCACCAGTGCTTGTCCTCGTGCTTCTCAACATGAACTGCGTACGGTTTCGGCACTTCGACGTATTCCTTGTGGACAACTGGGACCTTCACTTCCACTGGGTATGGGACTGGACGGTCAACGTGAACCTTCTTCTCGACATATACTGGAACCTTCTTTTCGAAATGAACTGGGTATGGGACCTTCACTTCAACTGGAACGTGCTTCTCTACCTCGACTGGGTATGGGACTGGACGGTCAACGTGAACCTTTTTCTCGACATGGACTGGGTATGGGACCTTCACTTCCACTGGATATGGGACTGGACGATCAATGTGGACCTTCTTCTCAACATGCACTGGATATGGGACCTTCACTTCCACTGGATATGGGACTGGAACCTTCTTCTCAACCTCGACGGGGTATGGGACTGGACGGTCAACGTGGACTTTCTTCTCAACATGGACAGGGTATGGGACCGGACGGTCAACATGAACCTTCTTCTCGACATGTACTGGGTATGGGACCTTCACTTCCACTGGATATGGGACTGGACGGTCAACGTGAACCTTCTTTTCTACATAGACTGGACGGTCAACGTGGACCTTCTTCTCGACATGTACTGGATATGGGACCTTCACTTCCACTGGGTATGGGACCTTCACTTCCACTGGATATGGAACTGGACGGTCAACGTGAACCTTCTTCTCAACATGTACTGGGTATGGGACCTTCACTTCCACTGGATATGGGACCGGACGGTCAACGTGGACTTTCTTCTCTACATGCACTGGATATGGGACCTTCACTTCCACTGGGTATGGGACTGGACGGTCAACGTGGACCTTCTTTTCAACATGTACTGGGTATGGGACCTTCACTTCCACTGGGTATGGGACTGGACGGTCAACGTGAACCTTCTTCTCAACATGTACTGGGTATGGGACCTTCACTTCCACTGGGTATGGGACCTTCACTTCCACTGGGTATGGAACTGGACGGTCAACGTGAACCTTCTTTTCCACATAGACTGGACGGTCAACGTGAACCTTCTTCTCAACATGTACTGGGTATGGGACCTTCACTTCAACTGGGTATGGAACTGGAACCTTCTTGGTGATGGTGGTGGTCAAGTGCTTCACTTCATGCTGGTGGTGGTGGTCGTGGTCATCGAAGCCAAGGGAATTCTGTCCGTATCCCAAATCCCACAGGCCACGTTTTTCCTTTTTGCTTGAATCGTCAACTGCCGCGCATGACGCAATGGCCAAAGCCATGGACAACACAACGAACACCTGGAAAAGAAAAATCGGATGCGAATTAGAGCGAATTGAAAACTAATTGATAATTTATAACTTGTTACCTTCATATTGGATGCTACCGGCGATGGTGTTTCGCACCAGTGGTTTTTGGACTGAACTGCGCTAGTGAGATGATCACAAGCGAATGATGTCTTCAATGTAACTCTTTGACGCTTTTATACAACTAACTCGATTTAGTTTCGATGCACTTGAACTTCGTCTTTATAATTTCTTTTCCATAGTATTGTCTCAGAAAGCAACACTGAACGCCTAAAGAAGGAGACGCCGCTAAGTGATTCAATTTTGTTCAACTTTGGTTTTTCCGTTAAATGTTCAGCTTCGAATAAAATATACTATATTTGTAAATACATAGATCAAAACTGGATTAGTCTGTCTTCTTTTCGTATATTCAAGGTACCTATGGTATAGTTATGCAATTTACTGAATAAATTATTAGTGCTTATAGAGGTTATTGATACACCGGATAGTCCATATACGACAGCAAAACTTGTAAAAGCAAAGAAAGCTCTCAATGAACTAATATAACTTGAAAAAGGACGCGAAGAAGACTAAAATTATTGATCCAAGTGACCGATGGAAATTCATTATTGCAATCACACACTGCGGATAGGCTAGACCCATAATCAAAATCATTGCCATCTAATTTTCCCATCGAACCTAATTTTTTTCTCATGAATCTCAGCAATTATCACCGTTTTTTTTATTTCACATAGAGAAAACTCCTCGGAAAGATCCAACTTTTATCAACTCGCACACAAAGGCAACATTAAACCATCCTCACACTACACCCGTTCCCCGAGCAACTACACCGGCATCAGGATCTCGAAAACCTTTGAACAAACTTTGAATATTGTGTTTATTAGTCCCTCAAGTCTCAAGTGACATTCTTTCGAGCAGTTGTCAGAATCTTCTCCTAGTGTGCGTTGCATGTGTTCAACATTACCGGCCTTCGACATTGTCAGTATATCGATGGAAAAATGACACTCGGAGCATCAACTTCCGGATTTGTGACCCGCGGGGGATGGAAAATCAATAAAGATTCAATATGCTATTTTTTTCTGTCCTTCCCAAGTTTTTCGAATGGAGCTTTATTTTATCCATCCCAAGGATGTCGGTTTGTCGTGTGTTGTGTTTATTCATCCGGTCGGAGTGAAATCGAAGCAACCTACGCTCGTTGCGTGTTGGTTGCCTTGGAGCTGGGTTTTATCACCTTCCGATGTTGTGTCATTCCACCCAACCCGGGAAAGCAAAGAAGGAAGCGAAAAATAACAGATAGACGCGCCATGTTTACGAGAGCTGTTTATTTAAGGTTGAGACGTTTTGTTACAGGTGTGGATTACAAATTGATCTGCACACGTTCGACGGGCTTCGTCGATGGTTCCGGTAATAATGTCGGGTTGTGAGTGGCTTATTTCTTTGCCTCGTAAAGATGTGTTCAAAGTCGTGGCTAGCATTTTGTGGGATTTGATGTATTGGAAAAACCTTGAATGATTTTTCGGAAAATGTTCTACTATTCAATGCAAAAGGTATGCATAGGGTTCCAATATGAAAGTACTATAATGCCTTGTTCAGACTTCAGAGTTATAACATGTAATAACAATTATCGACAAGACAAATGTCATCAACATATCCTTTTAACATAACACGTTACAACAAGTTATAACACTCCTCAGTCTGAACATAGCGTACATAAAATTATGAACATAAGGGAAGATGCATAAATCACGTAGCATTTTAGGGTGATCAACCATGCAGAAAAATACGCTACAAGATGCCGGGGGACCAAAGTTGGTGCTTCATGAAACAGAAAAAACGTTAAACGTTAAACGTATGTTTACGTTTGATGAACTACCAATGTTGGACCCCCTCCCTCTTGTAGTGTACTTTTTAAACATGGTTTGTCACCCTAAAATGCAAAACAATTTATCTTCGCTAACTTAAAACCACTAATGGATCCGTTCAAGATTTCAGAAATATTTGCCATTTTTTTTAAATGTAATATCATATTGAGATAGAACATTGAAAATTACACGATCCTCAGTTGGGTATACTTTTGGTGGATAAACTTGTTGGTGGTGGCAGTGTTCCTTTCGTCGACGGGAACTGCATAGAATCACCAAATCCCTGTAAGCTTATTGCAGCACCCCAAAATTCAAACAGGTGCGCAACACAGACAAATAAATATCAAAATTATTTTTATGTAATGGTACGTTCAGACTACAGAGTTATAACATGTTATAGCGCTATCTTGATGGTGGTTTCTGTGTTGCAATTATTTGACAACCGTTATAACATGTTATAACTCTCCAGTCTGGACAGCGTTTAGCTAAAATTCCTTTACGAATACATATCTGAAGAACGTCATTTGATTTTTTGTTTCAGCTACCATAAAACGGGGTAACTTTGATAGTTTTTTTAAGTATATTCTAAATATTTTTTACAACCATGAATGCTTTTTTATTTTTTAAAACAAGTACTGGGGATCCTAGAGTCAAATCATTTGTAACATGCTTACCAGGAATTATTGAATTTGCACTTTTTTTATTGTCTTATGATCGAACGTCAGATTTTTGTTTTGGGGTTATTTTGATAATTCTCGATGAAAGTAGAAAACCACGCGAAAATCGCAAACAATTTAGATCAAGAAGTAAGAATATTTGTATGAGTATATAATCAGAAACATCATAAGCAATATAAAAACAATATTGAATTTGTCATGACTATATAGGAAATACATTTAATAAGTGATTGTTTGAGTGCCTTTTCAATCAGGCAAAAAACAAGAAAAATTTGGTTTGGAGGAATTTGGAAAAAATGTAAAACATACTGCAAAATACTCTATCGAAGGTACTACCCTAAGCTACAAAATGTAACCAATATTTCCAATTTGGAAATAGTGTAGAGTGTAAATATAATCATTATATGGTGTAGTCGTAAGCGCGATTGCCTCTCATCACAGCAGGCCTGGGTTCAGTCCCAATCAGCGCCGCTTGGATTTTAGAAGTAAACCCATTGGTCCCCCCGGTCCCCAAGTTGATGGGTCGAAAGGTAGGGTCCAGGTGTGTCAACTGCCTTCCTGGCGTCAGTAGCATTGGTACTCAGTACGGAAAACAAGATCGACGTAATACAAATCAAGGAAAAAACAAAAGAATGTAATTTTCAATTATCTGGAGATCTTTTGAATGATCCCAGATCTACCTTGCATCTTAAAAGAATGCTTACGATGTTTTGATCAGTCCAAGATCTTCAGAATAATACTTGATCTACTTGAAGGCATCATATCCGAGAGTCGTCTCTTGCACTTTCAATCAGTTGGAGATTTTCAAATTAGCTAATCGTGTTATTTGAATAATCTCTGATTCAGCTAAATATGTGAGGGATTATCGGATTGAATAGTTGATCAGTAAAAGGTCTTCTGAATAATCAATCAATCTGAATCCTTGAAAAAATATTCAAGACGATTTAAAATCCTCCAACGTTCAGTGATCGTCTCTGAATCTGCATTAGCTTCAAAAAATGTGGAAGAACTTTGAAGAAGTGCCATGAACCGTGGGGAAATATCAAGAGCTTCGGAGAAACGTTATGAATGTCAGGAAAACTGAGAGGGGAGGGAGGGGGCAATTCCAGAGATCTCAAATTTATTAAGAAGTCCAAAAAACTTCTGGGGAGTAAAGATATCTTTAGGGAAGTCCCGACTGTCGGGAAAGTTTAAAGATCTTCAAGAAAAT